TTAAAACTAAGTCAAAGATCATTGAGAATACTTTTCCAACTTGAATGCATTTTTTTTTTTTTTTTTTTTTTTGAGACGGAGTTTTTTTGCTCTTGTTACCCAGGCTGGAGTGCAATGGCGCGATCTCGGCTCACCGCAACCTCCGCCTCCTGGGTTCAGGCAATTCTCCTGCCTCAGCCTCCTGAGTAGCTGGGATTACAGGAACATGCCACCATGCCCAGCTAATTTTTTGTATTTGTAGTAGAGATGGGGTTTCACCATGTTGACCAGGATGGTCTCGATCTCTTGACCTCGTGATCCACCCGCCTCGGCCTCCCAAAGTGCTGGGATTACAGGCTTGAGCCACCGCGCCCGGCCTGAATGCATTTATTTTTAAAAAAGAGATCATTGAGGTGCTAGGTATGTATAGGTAATTTAATTAAGGAATATTAGAGTGTGATTGCAAGGCTAAATGTGAAACTGATTTAAGTCCTACAAGGTAATAAACCATAACCTTTCAGATTATCGTTTTTTACTGAACAGCAATTATTTGCCTATTTAACTGGAAAACAATCTAAAAAGTAACGTGTAACTTTTTTTTTTTCTTTTTTTGGGACAGGGTCTCACTCATCACCCAGGCTGTAGTGCAGTGGTGAAATCTCAGCTCACTGCAACCTCCACCTGCTGGGCTCAAGCCATCCTCCCACCTCAGCCTCCCCAGGAGCTGGGACTATAGGCATGCGCCACCATGCTGGACAATTTTTGTATTTTTTGGTAGAAACAGGGTTTCCCTGTGTTGGCCAGGCTGGCCCAGAACTGCTGGCTTCAAGTCATCTGCATGCCTCCGCCTCCCAAAGTGCTGGGATTCCAGGCATGCGCCATCACGCCCAGCCTAAGTCTTGACCTTTAATCAGTACTCTTTACAAGACTCCAAAATTCTGTTCCCTTAAATTCTTCATCACTGCTGGGTTCTCCAAGCTCAGCACCCACATTCTTGTGAAACCCACTCCCAACACATTCAAGAGATAATGATTCCATGTGCAGACTAGTTATGCCTTGAGGTTTATCTTCTGGATATACTGGTGGTCATTCTTACTGAAGGTTATCCAAAAGCGTGGGCAGAGGGTAACAGAAAGCTTCCCTCTTACCCTACTCCAGACAGAAATAGGAGTGCTCATCTTGGTGTTTGTGACTTTTTACCTCCTAAAGACTTGAAAATGGGGGTGCTACATCACGCTTCACTTTCATTCACTAACTCAACAAGTAGCCAAAGATCCCATACCTTGTGCTGGACTGTGGGATGCAGTCCAGAGCAAAGAGGATGTGGCCCTCGCTCTCCCAGAGCTTCTGTTCTTGTGGGAAGACAGATCCTAGGTGAGTTGAACCCTAATGTGATAGGTACTGATGTGCAAAGGTGTTGAGCAGAAGTATGGGGAGAACTAGTTTGGTCTAGAGGGTGTCAGGGGCCCTTTTTCTAAGGAAGTGACATTTCAGATGAGTCTGGAAGGATGCGTGGGATTTCACTGGGTGGAAAGCTGCTAAGTGCTTTGGGGTAGAGAGAATAGCATGTGTGATGGACTCAAGCCCTCAGAAAGGGTGGCGTCCCAGGGGCCAATGAGGAAGTGATACCTATGAGGCTAGAAGCATGGAAAGGGGCAAAATCACACAGGGCCTTGAAGGTTTGGGCAGCTTGGGCTTCATCCAAAAGGCAGTAGGGAGCCACTGAAGGGTGACAGGGGCGTGCCATGATCAAAATTCACGTCCCTTGAAAACTCGAGGAGGACAACAGTGCCCTATGTCATAAACATTCCATAAATGTTTGCTGAATTTGTGAAGGAACAATTGGCTGACCCAGAAAGACACCCCGTGAGGTGCCTGACACCAGGAAGTGAGGTCAGAGTCCGTGGGCTGCAGCTCAGCTCTCTGCCTCTCAGTGTCATCTCATACACTCACTGGGCTCAGACAAGTGAAAGCTTCATATCGTCCCTCTCACTTGAGGATTTCTGCTTCACCATGGAGAAGAGAGGAAATCTCTGCAGGCAGGAATGCCTCTCACACTACACATGGCCCTAACTCCTTTTGGGAACTTTTCTCTTTAAAAAAAAAAAAATGAGTAAAAAGTGGGGAACGGCAGGAAGGTGACACATTCCCCGAGCTGCCTGCAGGTTATCCCCACAGTGACACGAGGGCTGCAGCCGATTCTGTAGTTTCGAGTGGTCTGGGTACTGCTAAGAATTTGCTAGAAAACATTTCAAGTTTCCTTGACAAAGATTTTTAAACAAATACATCACCCAACACAGAAGTAACGCACAGGGTAGATGAGGGTACAAGGAACTGTGCAGTCTCATTCACAGTGGGCGGAGGTGTGAATTGATTGAAACTTTGCTGGAGGGCAATGTGACAGCAACCAGAGCCCTAACGGTTTCCACCTGCCAGCTTCCCACTGAAGAATTTATCCATGGAAATGAATAAGGGGAGTTCCCAGTATTAGCTATAAAGATGATCATTTCAGCATTGTTTGCCATAGCTAACACCTGCAATTAGCTAGAATGTCCAAAACCAAGAAGAAAAATTACGTTTCATCCACACAATGGAAAACCGTGTCACTGTTTTAAAGAATACTGAAGAAAAATGTTTATTGACATGGAAAGATGTTCACCATTTAAGTGGGGGGGAAAAGGCAGATTATAAAGGGGTGTATCATATTATGCCATTAGGTTTTAAAAATATAACGGTGACTCTAGATGTGTATGTGAACAAATATGCAAAAGAAAAGATCTAGAAAGTTAAAAAACCAAAGGATTAACAGCACTTACCTGTGGTGGCGGCATTGCAGGCACTTTTGTTTTCTTCTGTTTTGTTGTTATTATTTTTACTTTTTCTTTGGTGAACTTTTATTTTGTAGAAAGAACAAAAGGTTTTATGTACAGAACTTGTTCATGATCTCCTAGGATCTCAGCTGTATTAGGGTTTGTGGGGCGTGTTCAGTGCCCCTTTGGCTGCTTGAAGGATCTGATTCGACCTATGCTTTTTAGATAGGCTTGTAGCAGGGGTTCCCCAAATCCACACAGACCTGCTTGTCTGGGTAAGATGATATTCATCAGTCTTGGTCTTCCAATTCCATTTTTGTAGCAGAAAAGAAATACTACACAAGAAGCACGATAATTTTCAGCAAACCTAATGGGATACTTAGTCACTTTTGCTTTATTTAAGAACCGTATCAACAAGGGTTAATGGGTGTAAAAGGTGTAATTAAATTTATTTAGAAAAATTAAAAAAAAAAACTGGAAGGATAAATACCAGAAATGGTGTGAATTGGTATCTCTGAGTGGTGGGATTATGGGTAATTTTTATGTCTTCTTTCATTTCTCTATTTTTCTGAAAATGAACATACATTGATATAAAAAGGAGGTGAAAGTGGTAACTTTAAAACCTAAGGAAACAAGTTTGCCTTTATGTAATTACAGTGGAAAGTTTAATTAAGGAGGGAGTTTGACCATCACTGCCATGGTAACAAGGTTGTTCTTTTTAGAACTGTGTGACTTACTGAAACAGCGTGGGCGGGAGAATTAGGAGACTGGGTTTGATCCTGGCTGTGTGACTACCGACAGGTTACTAACCCCCTGAGTCTCTTGTCATTCAGTAGGTTTTTTTTTCTTTTTTCTTTCTTTCTTTCTTTTTTTTTTTTTTTTTTTTTTTTTTTTTTGAGATGGAGTCTCACTCTGTTGCCCAGGCTGGCGTGCAGTGGCGTGATCTCAGCTCATTGCAACCTCTGCCTCCAGAGTTCAAGTGATTTTCTTGCTTCAGTCTCTTAAGTAGCTGGGACTAGAGGCATGCAACACCATGCCCAGCTAATTGTTATATCTTTAGTAGACATGGGGTTTCACCATTTTGGCCAGGCTGGTCTTGAACTCTTGACCTCAAGTGATCTGCCCTCCTCGGCCTCCCAAAGTGCTGGGATTACAGGCGTGAATCACTAGACCCAGCCTCTTGTCATTCACTTATTAATGAACATTGATTGAGCATCTTCTATGTACCTGGGCCTGAGCCTGACACTGGGGACACAATAGCCAAGTGAGATGTAGGCCCAGCAGTCACGGAACTGCCAATCCAGTTCAGAAGGAAAATAGCAAAAACCAGACAAAAAGCAACCTAATAGTAATAACAGTCACAGCTGCCTGTACCAAGTGCTTACTAAATGCCAGCCACCTATACTTGACAGAAAAAGAGATACCCATATGTATACACAATATATAATAGATAGAAATACATATAACTGATATATATATATGGTGTACATATATATATCAACCCATCATATATAGTCTGTGTATATATATCCACCCATTTAATTCTCACAGTAAGCCCATGAGGTAGGTATTACTATTATTACCATTTTACAGATGAGGAAACTGAAGCTCAAGTAGCTAATTTGCTCAAAGGTACACAGGCAGGAATTTCTACCCAACCATGTGCTCACTGAACTATGTAAGTACAAGGGTCATGGTTTTCACAAATTAAAACAGGGCCATCCAGTGGGAAACCAGCCCGGGCAATGGCAAAACCCCTTCTCTACAAAAAATACAGAATTCAGCCCGGTGTGGCGGCACGCATGTATAGTACCAGCTACTTGGGAGGCTGGAGTGGGAGGATTGCCTGAGCTTGGGAAGTTGAGACTGCAGCGAGCCAAGATTTCACCACTGCACTCCCGCCTGGGCAGCAGAGTGAGACCCTGTCTCAAAAACAAAAACAAAACAGAGCAATAAAACCATATTAGGACCACACAAACTTGTCTCGGTGTACAGGTAAGTCTGCCCTGAGGATGTGACATTTCACTTAGACCCCAAGGATGTGAAGTAACAAATCAGGCAAAGAGCAGGGGCAAGAGCCTCTGAGGTGGAAGAAATGAAGAGAAAGGGCATTATGAATTTGCATTAAGCTTTCTAAGTGAGTGGGATTGGTGTAGCGGTCACTGGCCATGGTGCTAACAGCAAATTCTCTGCTACCCCCTCTACTCCCAGGCACTCCTGGCCAGGGCACTTTACGACAACTGCCCTGACTGCTCCGACGAGCTGGCTTTCAGCAGAGGGGACATCCTGACCATTCTGGAGCAACAGGTGCCAGAAAGTGAGGGCTGGTGGAAGTGTTTGCTCCATGGGAGGCAAGGCCTGGCCCCTGCCAACCGCCTCCAAATCCTCACGGAGGTCGCTGCGGACAGGCTACGCCCCCCATTCCTGAGAGGCCTGGAAGAAGCTCCTGCCAGCTCAGAGGAGACCTATCAGGTGCCCACTCTACCCCACCCTCCCACTCCAGGCCCTGTTTATGAGCAGATGAGGAGTTGGGTGGAGGGGTCCCAGCCCCCCGCTGCCCAAGTCTACGAATTCCCTGACCCTCCCACCAGCGCCAGAATCATCTGTGAAAAGACTCTCAGCTTTCCAAAACAGGTATGCACATTTCCAACTACTAGACGTGGGTTGAGGGTTGTGGAAACACCCAGGGTCCTAACTACCCCTTGAGTCATGGGTGTCCTTCAGATCAAATGCACAAAATGGGAGCCCAGATTGCTGGAGCCACCATGCCTGGCCCAAAGCATCCATTTTTAAAAAACAGAGGAGAAAGAGCATTCATTAAATGTGGAATGGGTCAGGCTCTGTGGCTCACTCCTGTAATCCCAGCACTTTGGGAGGCCAAGGCAGGAGGATTGCTTGAGCCCAGGAGTTTGAGACTACCCGGGGAACATAGTGAGAATTCATCTCTGATAATAATAAGTAAATAATTAGGCAGGCATGGTGGCAGGCATCTATAGTCCCATCTACTCAGGAGGCTCTGGCAAGAGGAACCTCTGAGCCCAGGAGAGTGAAGCTGCAGAGAGCTATTACTATGGCGTCCCCCTGCACTCCAGCCTGGGTGACTTCCCTGTCTTTAGAAATAATAAAGCAAATGCAGAATGAAAACTTTTTTTTTAATAAGGAAAATAATTAAAGGAAAGAAGGAAGGCCGGGCGCGGTGGCTCAAGCCTGTAATCCCAGCACTTTGGGAGGCCGAGGCGGGTGGATCACAAGGTCAAGAGATCGAGACCATCCTGGTCAACATGGTGAAACCCCGTCTCTACTAAAAATACAAAAAATTAGCTGGGCATGGTGGCACGTGCCTGTAATCCCAGCTACTCAAGAGGGTGAGGCAGGAGAATTGCCTGAACCCAGGAGGCGGAGGTTGCGGTGAGCCGAGATTGCGCCATTGTACTCCAGTCTGGGTAACGAGAGCGAAACTCAGTCTCAAAAAAAAAAAAAAAAAAAAAAAAGGAAAGAAGGAGAAAAATAATTCCCTGTTTCCCCCAAAGCCCTGGCCTTCGTGAGGTGCAGAGCAGATGTGCACAGGCCTGAGTCACTGCAGATACTTCCAGCCATCAGATGCTTTGCTTTCGGCTCCATGACACATCCCACCCAGCCACAGCTCTGGCAGAGATCTTGGCAAGGTCTGTGTGCAGGGAAAGGCCACTCTCTCTGAAGCATGTGTTGCTGTGGGGGCCATAGGAATGGGCCCCCCGGCATTCAGGCCTTCTCCATATCAACTTCCAAAGTTGTCTTCAAACAGGAAAAGGTTGATTCCTCAGAAGATTTTGAATACTTTGCACTTTCGAACTCCCTGGGCTACAAGACATAGAACCAGACAGTTGTTAAAAAGAACAGCTGCCATGCACAGACGCTCACTACAAACACCAGGAGAAAACTGGTGGAACGTTCTGAAGTAGTTAACGAGGTGGACCCTAACTCTCTTTTCTGGAACAACTGGCCCTAGTCTAGGCCTGGCATGCTCAGCTGCTGTCCGAGCAGCTGACTCAGAGCAGGGCTTTGGTGAGGTTTCTTCTAAGAACAAGTGACATTAGCTGAAGTTAGTTTGAATTTCTTCCAAAGCCATGAAAAGAAAAAAGAAAAAAATCAATAGCAATTCCTTCCTCTCCGTGAAAGAAAAACAGATGCAATGTTCTCTGTTAACCAGAGGACGCTTGAAGAGCAGTAACAATCAGTTAAGGATTTTCTGATCCACAGAAAAGGCTGGCATCTCCCCCCTGCTCATGCCACTCAATACAGTGCCAGGCTCCTGCAAGGTGCTCAGTAAATAACAGTTGCATGAACAAAACGGACCATACACAACATATGGTTTCAGAAACGTGGGGTCCACTGTCAACTGCCAAATTGACATCTGTGTGAAAGGAAAGATGAATTTACTATTGAAATTTAACTTTGAAAACTGATCAGGGCATTCGCAATGAGATCTATCCTTGATGTTAAGTGCATCAACAGTTTGAGCCCTTGCTTGTGCAGGCTGCGGCTAACAACAGAAACCACAAGGAAATTCAAGGGGGTCCCTTTAACCACTGACCAGGGTTCTTGAGGTGGCCACAGTAAAACACCAGGGGGGAGTTTCCTGTCCTGTTTCCCTTCCTTAAGCTCCCTCCATGTCTGCCCTACCTGTAAGTTACACGTTTGCTCCCTTCCTTCCCTATTTATTTCCTTTTTTTAATTTTTAACCCGGAGTCTCGCTCTGTCATGCAGGCTGGAGTGTAGGTACTGCAGCCTCTGCCTCCTGGGTTCAAGAGATTCTGATGCCTCAGCCTCCCAAGTAGCTGGGATTACAGGCTCCTGCCACCAGGCCTGGCTAATTTTTTTTTTTTTTTTTTTTTTTTAATTTTTAGTAGAGACAGGGTTTTGCCATGTTACCCAAGCTGGTCTCAAACTCCTGATTTCAGGTGATCCACCCACCTCGGCCTCCCAAAGTGCTGGGATTACAGGTATGAGCCACCAAACTAGTGGCTCAGAGTTGCCTGGCCTATCAACAGCCGCTTCCATTTAAAATGTAGTTTCTGGGCAGTTTTAGCCTCAGGGCTAATGGCTAGATGACAGGGGCAGGGAGGAGATGCCTGTCTTTTCTGTGGATCAGAAAATCCTTAACTGATCGTTAACTGCTCTTCAAGTTCTTCTAGCTGTCCCAGAAGCCAAGTGAGATGGCATTCCTGGATTGTAAGTCACAGACCACATCTCTTGCTAAGAGACCCCAAGCACAAAGCAGGCAAGAAATTAAAAAATATTTTGTTTTTTGAGACAGTTTTGCTCTTGTTGCCCAGGCTAGAATGCAGTGGCATGATCTCGGCTTAATGCAACCTCTGCTTCCCGGCTTCAAGGGGTCCTCCTGCTTCAGCCTCCTGAGTAGCTGGGACTGTGGGCACACGCAACAGTTAGAACTGTTTACCCATGGCAACTTCACAGGCTTGGAACACAGTCTTTGCCCGTCATTTCATGGACTGTTTTTAAAATCTGTGTTGACAGTCTGTAAACTAAGAGTGGCCCGAAATTAACATTCGTTGACATGGAAATATGTCATTTTTCTTAAGCTGTCCTAAGAGAGGCATCTATGTGTCTGAATCAGACATCTCTATGGCTGGACGAGATCTCTGCATATCTTTAGATTAAAACAAATCTCCATTTTACAGATGAGGACATCAATTCCCAGGGAGGTGAAATTGCTCATGCAGAGTCACACAGCTGATGAGGCATGACTTCCATCACCCCCAAAACAGAGCCCTTATTCCTTGATCTTTCACCTGACTCTGTGGCTGACACCATTCTTTCCAATGAACACTTTATTGAAATCTCGCCTACAGATGCTAAGTAACAGCTCAGTAACTTATATCCAGACCAAGAAACAACAAAGCTAGCAGAACAGAAGCCCCCAGTGCCTTCTCTCTGTCACTTCCCCACCAGGGTAGCCACTATCTGGAGCTTTGTTTTACTTTTTATTCCAACTTCCTTAATATAATGTGCTGGCCTAATTTTAAAAAACCACACACATAAAGAACATATTTGATTTCAGTTTATATTCAGAAGGGCCTCTTTGGTATTTCAATAGAAAAGGGCCAGATCTCCTGGTGAAATTGCTCTTGGACCCACTAGTTTCTGAACTGGAGTTTCCTTCTGTTTCCCTAAACCTTTCGAAACCGCATTTCTCAAACATGTTCCTTAATGGATCACCACAGTGGACCTACGTTTTCCAAGAAGCACTGGGCATTTTTGAGCTGGCTTCCTTCCATCTGAAATGTCATACCCAGGAAAGTCCCTTTGCTCTGCGGAGGTGCTCTTATAGGCATAGCGGACCCCGTAGTCAGCCATCAGAATAAAAAGGGCCTGAAGTCATAGGGGAGGAATGGGCCTTGGGACAGCATTGGAAAAGGTCTGCGGTAGGAGAAAGCTTGGTGTGTTCAAATAAGTGAGAGCTGGGAGGGAGGAGATACAGACATGACAGCCAATGGTCAGAGACATTCATTCAAGGTCCCTGGGCATGGCTGGTACGTAGCCTGTCTGGGCCGGTGAGAAGCTTGGACTTCTGGCCTGACATAGTGGCTCATGCTTGTAATCTCTGCACGCTGGGAGGCCGAGGCAGACAGATCACGTGAGGTCAGGAGTTCAAAACCATCCTGGCCAACATGGTGAAATTCCATACTATTTGTACTAAAAATACAAAAAAGTAGCAGGACGTGGTGGCAGGCACCTGTAATCCCAGCTACTCAGGAGGCTGAGGCAGGAGAATCACTGTAACCTGGGAAGCAGATGTTGTAGTGAGCCAAGATGGCGCCATGACACTCCAGCCTGGGTGGCAGAGCAAGACTGTCTCAAAAAAAAAAAAAAAAAAAAAAAAAAAACTTGGATTTCATTCCATTCAACATGTAATGGGAAACCACTGATGGGCTTGTCCACCTAGACCAATCAGCCTGAGACCATCAAGAACAAAATCCATTTATTAAACGTAGAGCAGAGGAACCACAGGGCAGCTCACAAGCAGGAAAAGGCAGCGTAATGATGAGATGGGGAGATGGGGAAAGGTGGGGTTTAGGCGGAATCTAAGCCAAGGTGTGCCTTGATAGGCTCTGTGCAAAACAGGGCAGCATGCAGGCTGGACGTGGCTGCCCTCTCCTTGGGAACCACGAAGCGGAGATAGAGGGGAGTGCTGGGCCCGGAAACCCCTGTCCGAAGGACCACATGAGGACCTGGGGATCGAGGCTGCTTCTCTGTCAATGACTCAGATCCCCCACGCAGGAGTGGGATGTTTCATTCTTACTGATAGCACTTTGGAGAGCTGTGTTTTGAGAGCCTAGGATTTTAGGGAACCGAGTTTCTCAGGAGCAAGAAAGCAGTCATTACCCAATGAAGGGGGCTATTTTGACATGTGACAGCTGCAGCGTGTCCTTGGAAGAAATGTTCATCCTGTTTGCATTGCAGCTGCTTTATCTGCGTCCTTGAGTCTAGCCAGATGAATGGCGGGGCGAATTTTTACACTGTGTGCTAATGTTTACCATCCAAGCTGTGCACATCCGTTCATCAAAAACCAACAGATAAACCTAGCATGTACCACATGCCATTCCCAGTGCTGCATCCTGGGGACACCGTGATGGATGGAGGGACCCTGACCCAGTCCTCAGAAACTGCCCCTCCACCTGCATTTCCCTCCCCCACCTCCCCACTCCACATGTTGAAACCCTAACCAGCCCCTGAGCCTGCTTGGAAAGTCCCCTACTCAGCGACAGCTCCTTGCGACCCCAGTGGGAAATACATTCTCCCTGTCCGAGACTCTAGAGCGTCACCCTGTCCTCTCTTCCAGGTCCCTTGTTGCTTCCCAGCCTGTGTCCTTGGTGTGCTCAGACCTCATTTCCCTCTTAGACATTAAGCCCCCGGCAGACAGCATCCTCTACTCTAGAAGAAATCACCCATTTCTCGGCCCCTCCTAGAGATGTTCTAGTCCAGGAGGTCTGAATGGGACTCTTGGCAGCTATATTCTTTTTCGTGTTTTTTGTTTCGAGACAGAGTCTCTCTCTGTCACCAGGCTAGAGTGCAGTGGCGGGATCTCAGCTCACTACAACCTCCGCCTCCTGAGTTCAAGCAATTCTCCTGCCTCAGCCTCCCGAGTAGCTGGGACTACAGGCGCATGCCACCACATCCAGCTTTTTTTTTTTTTTTTTTTTTTTTTTTTTTTTTTTTTTTTTTTTGTATTTTTAGTAGAGACGGGGTTTCACCATGTTGGCCAGGATGGTCTTGATCTCTTGACCTCGTGATCCACCCACCTCGTCCTCCCAAAGTGCTGGGATTACAGGTGTGAGCCACCGTGCCTGGCCAGCAGCTATATTCTTTTAAAGTTTTCTAGGTGACTCGGACCCCTGGCTGGGTTCAGAAGCTGCTCTGTGGCAACCAGTGTGGTACCCACCACTGAGCCGACAACATTGAGCTCTAAAGGATTAAGTTGAATCCGAAGTTCCTATGCACAGGCCCAGGCTCTGTGGCTGAGACCACGTTTCCCAAAATGGCTTGAGCAATAACTGGCCAAGCGCGCTCAATCAAATATAAATCAGATTCTCCATCCCACCCTTCGTAGGACAAAATGCAAGCTCCTTAACTGACTGCTCCCTGTTAACCTTTCCCACTCCCTCTCTCCCTCCTCCCCCTCACCCCTCTCCATCACTTTCACATAGCCAGGTCCTCTTCCACCTCCCACTGCTGCCAGCAAAAGCCACCAGCTGCAGTTCCTCTGCTCACCTCCTGTGTCCCTGTCTCAGCCCAGGTGGCGAGTCCTGAGGCAGCTCCCAGGCCCCAGTTTCCTCCCACACCTCATTAGTCCCCCCACCTTGCATCCTTACAGTCCCTCTGCCTGTCACGTGCACATCTGCAGCCTCAGCCTAGCTAGATGAATGCAGATGAATAACCCAGTATCAGAGTTACAGCCTCCTGGTCCCTAGAGAACATCAGAATCACCAGGCAAGCTTGTTAACAGTGCCAGTTCCCGGGCCGCCCGCAATACCCAGAGACTCCATCCAACCGAGTGGGCCCAGGAATCTGCATGTTAACCTGTCTCAGGTGAACTTCCCAGGTGAGGCAGACGTAGGACATCTGGGCCCCCCGTGAGGCAGGCTGCCTCCACCAGGAGCCTCCCACCTGCACCCTGCTATTCTCAGTTTTGAGAGTGGAAAGCCTGCATCGGGGTGCCGGGTGATGCCCTCAGCATGCTCACCTAGCTGTCTCTGCTTTTGGAGAGATGACTTTGAACCCAATTGTGATCAACAGAATGACATTTCCTTTCCCTCTGCTCTCTTCCTTTCTCTCCAAGGCCATCCTCACGCTTCCCAGACCTGCCCGAGCCTCGATGCCAACTCTGCCTTCCGAGGTGTATGATGTGCCTACCCAGCACCGGGGTCCCGGTGCCCTGAAGGTGAGCCTTGTTCAGGGACCCTGCACCACCCAGACCTCTGCGCCCAGAGTCTGGGGTTCTCGGCATCATGCCCACAATGCATTTCAGCATTGCCATGGGAGGCCAGGGGCTCAGTCCTCTCAGCCTCCAGAATACACATTGCCACTCAGAGGCCAACTTTACAAAATCCTTTTTACCCTTGGAGCCCAGGCCTGCTCTGGAAAACATTATGACTACTCGAGTTCTGAATATTTTGAAGTTTTTACTTTTCATTTAGAATAGATATTTTTTTCTTTTTCTCTTTGAGATGGAGTCTTGCTATGTTGACCAGGCTAGTCTCGAACTCCTGGCCTCAAGCCATCCTCCCATCTCAGCCTCCCAAAGTGCTGGGATTACAGGCGTAAGCCACCGCATCCAGCCATCATTTATAATAGATATTTAATATATGTGTGTATGTACATACACATATGCACACACTTTTTTTTTTGAGACAGAGTCTTGCTCTGTCACCAGGCTAGAGTGCAGTGGCCCAATCTGGGCTCACTGCAACCTCTGCCTTCTGGGTTCAAGTGATTCTTCTGCCTCAGCCTCCTGAGTAGCTGAGACCACATTCGTGTGCCACCACGCCCAGCTAATTTTATATTTTTTTAGTAGAGACGGGGTTTCACCATGTTGGCCAGGATGGTCTAGATCTTTTGACCTTGTGATCTGCCCGCCTTGGCTTCCCAAAGTGCTGAGATTACAGGCATGAGCCACCTTGCCCGGCCTACACACACATTTTTTAAAAAATAATATTTTGAAGGATGTGCACCACAGTCTCAACGTGGATTATCACTGATTATCTCAACACTGATTATCTCTGGGGGAAGAAATTTTAGTTGTTTCTTTTTTAACTTGCTTGTATGTAGGTGGAACATCAAATTTGCAAGACATGCTTCATGTGATCAAAAAATAGCTTCACTTCTTTCTTAGCCCAGAAGAAACCGCTCTGTGGTGCCGTTCTCCCTGCCCAGATCAGTAGCTCCTACCTTCCGTTGTATGCGAAAGCATCTGAGAGCGTTAGCCATCCTGGTGCCTGTGCCCCAAGCCCGGAGACTATTTAGTCAGGTCTAGGTGAGGCCCACACAGCAGGATGTTTAAAAGCTCTCAGGTGACTCTACTGTGCAAACCAGGCTTGAGAACCACAGTTCCAGCCTAAATAAAATTCCAAGCAGGCTCTGTGACTTCTTGGTCACTCACAGGTAACAAGTCACTTTAGGCCAGGTGTGGCAGCTCCTGTAATCAAAGCACTTTGGGAGGCCAAGGCAAGAGTATCACCTGAGGTCAGGAGTTTGAGACCAGCCTGGACAACATGGTGAAACCCCATCTCTACTAAAAATACAAAAACTAGCTGGGCATGGTGGTGCACGCCTGTAGTTCCAGCTACTAGGGAGGCTGAGGCAGGAGAATCACTTGAACCTGGGAAGTGGAGGTTACAATGAACCAAGATTGCACCACTGCACTCCAGCCTGGGTGACAGAACAAGACTCTGTCTGAAAAAAAATAAAAATTTAAAAAATTTTTAAATGTCACTTTAGCCTCCCCAGGCTCAGTTGAGGAATTTACTTGTCCAGGCAATAATCAAACTTTCCAGTTCATTTAAAGCCAAAGCTCCTGCTGCCCAGCTTGGCCTGCTCGCTCCAGGAATTGTATGGGTGGTCTCAGACTCCTGCAGGGCCGCAAGAGGCAGGCAGGGAGAGGGGTGTGAGGGAGAAAGGCCCCGGTTCTGTTGGTGGGTGCTGAAGTAGTGGCCAGTGGGGCAAGTGGATTCTTTCTCTTCCAGGCATTCCTGTAAGTGCCATGTCCTCTGACCCCACCTCCTTCCCCTCACCTCCTTGCTGAGCATCTTTATCTGGAAGTCCCTCCAGGTGGACAAATGCATCTCCTCTGGCTGGTGGCTCCTCTCTTAGCTCTAGGGCAGGCAGGTCATCTCCAGCCACGCCCTCCTGAGAGTCCCTGAGCCATTCCTCCCTGGCTCTTGCTCCAGCTCGTGTGATCCATGCCTGGTCCATGACAAACACACAGACCCCCTTTGCCATGAGAGACTCTAGGAGCACAGGCACTTTCCATGGGCACGAAAGTTATCAATAAAAACACACTTGTATGACTCACTTCACTCACATTGCTCTAATCCCAGCCCCACTAGATCCTGTCTTTATGTAAAAGTCTGACTTGTTGTTCACCATGATTTTTTCGCATTATGATTTTCTTAAATATTGCGTTTAAAATAGTATTTACCTTGGTGACTGAGTTTTTTGATGCCCTCTTAATGCTGTGCCCAAGTCCAGTGTTTGCGCTCCTCCGTGGGTCTTGGTCTGAGAACTGGCCATCACAGAACGCTGCCACTGTGTATTTTGTCCTCAGCCTCTCTCTTTTCACCTCTCCCAAGCAAGTCAGCCCCCATCCACTGTAATCCCAGAATCAGGGGACATAAGTCAAGTCACTGAATAATCCCATGAGAGCACTTGATGGTTTGCTTTTGGGGCGTGAAAGGCAACCCTTGCTGCACCCCACCCCATTTCCCAGCTGAGGAGAATCCTCAGGAGACTCACAGCCCAACTCTCTAAAGAAGCCCCTTCCAACGTCCAGCTGTTTCTCTCTTTCTTTGCAAAACCTGTTTTGGTGCTCTCTTGCCTTGCTTTGGAATTTGTCACCTGTTTTTTGTATCCTAATATGTATGTTTTTTTTTTTTTTTGAGGCGGAGTTTCGCTCTTGTTACCCAGGCTGGAGTGCAATGGCGCGATCTCGGCTCACCGCAACCTCCGCCTCCTGGGTTCAGGCAATTCTCCTGCCTCAGCCTCCTGAGTAGCTGGGATTACAGGCACGCACCACCATGCCCAGCTAATTTTTTTGTATTTTTAGTAGAGACGGGGTTTCACCATGTTGACCAGGATGGTCTCGATCTCTCGACCTCGTGATCCACCCGCCTCGGCCTCCCAAAGTGCTGGGATTACTGCGCCCGGCAATGTATGTTTCTAAATTACTGTACACATTACATATATATATATATATATATATATATATATATATATATATATATATATATAAAGCCACTGAGGGAGTTTGAGCAGGGTAGTGACAATTAGATTTCTTTTTTTTTTTTTTTTTTTTTTTTTTTTTTTAGATAGAGTCTTGCTCCTTTGCCAGGCTGGAGTGCAGTGGCACAATCTCGGCTCACCATAACCTCCATCTCCTGGATTAAAGCGATTCCCCTGCCTCAGCATCCTGAGTAACTGGGATACAGGCACACGCCACCACACCCTGCTAATTTCTTGTATTTTTTTTAAGTAAAGATGGGGTTTCACCATGGCCCGGATGGTCTCAATCTCCTGACCTCGTGATCCACCCGCCTCGGCCTCCCAAAGTGCTGGGATTACAGGCGTGAGCCACCGCACCCGGCCTGACAATTAGATTTCTAAGAAGCACACTGCTAGTCGGGCGCGGTGGCTCACGCCTGTAATCCCAGCACTTTGGGAGGCCGAGGCGGATGGATCACGAGGTCAGGAGTTCGAGACCAGCCTGGCCAAGATGTTGAAACCCCGTCTCTACTAAAAATACAAAAATTAACTGGGCCCGGTGGCACGCACCTGTAATCCCAGCTACTCAGGAGGCTGAAGCAAGAGAATCGCTTGAACCTGGGAGGCAGAAGTTGCAGTGAGCCGAGATCGCGCCATTGCACTCCAGCCTGGGTGACAGAGTGAGAAAAAAAAAAAAGCAGCACAGCACAGTGCCTGGCACTTAGGACCTTGGTAAGACACACATTTGTCAAATGAGTAACTCACAGCCTGTTTTTATTGCTCTCATGATGTGAAGTGTCATCCGGCACATCACGAGAGCAATAAAATGTCTGGTCATCCTAGTAGGCATGCATTAAATATTTGCAGAATAATTATGACTGATAAACACAGGAAAATCTCTACTGAGAAAAACAGGAAAGAAAACAGACATGTTAGGTCTCAATCTCATTTATCCTCTGACTTAATTTTAAGGTGAACTCGGCTGGGTGCGGTGGTGTGGTGACTCACGCCAATAATCTCAGCACTTTGGGAGACCAAGAGGGGACAGATCACTTGAGGTCAGGAGTTCGAGACCAACCTAGCCAACATAGTGAAACCCCATTTTTACTAAAAATACAAAAAATTAGCTGGGTGTGGCAGTGCGTGCCTGTAATCCAGCTACTCGGGAGAATGAGGCAGGAGAATCGCTTGAACTGGGGAGGTGGAGGTTGCAGTGAGCCGAGATTGCACCACTGCACTCCAGCCTGGGTGACGGAGCAAGACTCTGTCTCAAACAAGAGGGAGGGGGATGAACTCAAAGAAGATAAACTACCCTTTTTAATTTAGGCAACTGCAGTTGATGCTCTGTTGTCCACCCCCCACCTTTGGTTGAGAAGTCTCTTTTTAAAGCATAAAGTCCATTGTTTAATGTATACCCTGTTACGGGAAAAACTTGGGACTGTAAGATCCCCTGTACGTCCCTAAACAAGGAAGGTGGGGGACCCCTCACCTAGATTTCCACCGTTAGTACCATGACCAAAAGCACCAAAACGTCTTCAGGAATTTGTGTCTTCCTTTGGAAAAAACACGCGTATCGGGAGAGTTTGTGATGTGTAGCCTTTAGGAAAGAAACATTCAAATTGTCTGCATTTGCGGTCTTTCCCAGGAGCCAGAGAAGCAGCAGTTATACGACATACCAGCCAGCCCCAAGAAGGCAGGACTCCATCCCCCCGCCGGCCAAGCAAGTGTAAGTGCAGAGAGGTGCTAAGGTGCGGTGTTACGAACAACAAAAATCCTCTCAGAAATGTTACTAGCTTGGGACCAGGTATGGTGGCTCAAGCCTGTAATCCCAGCACTTTGGGAGGCTGAGGCAAGTGGATCACCTGAGGTCAGGAGTTCAAGACCAGCCTGGCCAACATAGTGAAACCCCATCTCTATAAAAATACAAATATTGGCCAGGTGTGGTGGTGGGCACCTGTAATCTCAGCACTTTGAGAGGCTGAGGTGGGCAGATTACTTGAGGTCAGGAGTTCAAGACCAGCCTGGCCAAAATGGTGAAACTCTGTCTCTACTAAAATACAAACATTTTAAAAATATATTATTAGCTTGGTCAAGAATTAGAATGCAAATTCCTCATAACAGAGACCTATTGCGTTTGAGGTAAAACCTCTCATTGCACTTGTGTTCAGGAATAGGACTCATTATGTGGTTTGGGATAAGTCATTTAACATCTCTGTTTTTATGGGCTGGGAGTATTAAGTGAGGTAATCCTGCAAAGGACCTAGGACAGTGCCTGGCACAGAGCAAAAGTTATATAATGGCTTCTTATTATGCCAGACCTCAGGGATGCACTGTGATACAGTACACTTTTATCTGTACTGGTGAAACGACTTTATTTGAAATCTGTGTAATCCGTGTTTATAATAGGATTCTACCATGTGTCCCACAGACACACTTACACCCAAGGTCATCAGGGAATAACTTACAAGAAGGCTGGCATTTCAGCCGTGTTGGGGGATGCAGAGGAGTTTGGTGGATGGAAAAGACAGGGTTGCAAGGGCATTTAGAGCAGAGGAACCAGTTTGGGCAAAATGAAATACAGGGTCATGAGTCAGTGTTCTGAGTTCAGGGCAAAGTAAGCAGCTTGGGTGGCTGGACCCGTAAGCAGGTTGTGGCAGATGAGGTGGGTCAGCGTGGTGGAAGTGGAAAGAAATGATGCTCGAAAGAATTGGTGAAGGGCCTTGAGTGGTAACAGAAATGAAGACCCACTGAAGAAAGTTGAGTGGGGGAGTGATGATGAGATTTAAACGAGGCATTCACACCCTCTTTTGAAAGCTACTAACCCGGGCCACTGTGTGTGGTTCTTCCACAGGTACAGGGTGTTCCCCTGATATCAGCGACTACCTTAAGAAGTGGTGGCTACAGCACATTACCAAATCCTCAGAAGTCAGAATGGATTTATGACACTCCAGGAAAGACCAGCATCAGAAACACATCTCTCACCACCTTTGCGGAAGAATCAGGGCCCCACGCTGTCCCCAGTTCCAGCTCTATTTTCCACAGTCTTCTAAGTGGCAGAGACAGCTCCCTCACTCCACAACTGAACAACAGGGTGCCTATGCAGAAAAAACTCAGTGTTCCAGAAATTCCTTCTTACGGCTTTCTCACACCCAGAGACACATTTCCTTTGGATACAGATGTCAGCTACAAGGTTCCTTCAAGCTTTCTGATGCCCCGAGTGGAACAGCAGAACACCAAGCCCAACATTTATGACATCCCTAAAGCAATGTCCAGTGTGTCTCAGGCTGGGAAGGAACTGATGAAAATCAATGAGGTGACAGAGAATTCCACGGGCCGTAATTCCTCATGGTTCTCCAGGCAGACAACTTCCCTATCTCCTGAACCCAGCAGATTATCAGTTTCCAGTTCTGACAGCAGAGCTAGCGTTGTTTCTTCGTGCTCCACCACATCCACCGACTCCTCCTCCAGCTCTTCCTCGGAGGAGTCAGCAAAGGAGCTCTTCTTGGACCTGGACGTGGCCAAGGAGACAGCGATGGCTCTGCAACACAAGGTGGTCAGCTCCGTCGCTGGCCTGATGCTGTTTGTCAGTAGGAAGTGGAGATTCCGAGACTATCTGGAGGCCAACATTGAAGCAATCCACAGGGCCACTGATCACATAGAAGAATCTGTAAGAGAATTTCTGGATTTTGCCCGAGGAGTCCATGGGACTGCCTGTAACCTCACTGACAGTCACCTTCAGAACAGAATTCGGGACCAGATGCAGACAATCTCCAATTCCTACCACATCCTGCTTGAAACAAAGGAAAGCTTGGACAATCGCCATTGGCCTCTGGAAGTTCTTGTGACTGACAATGTCCAGAACAGCCCAGATGACCTTGAGAGGTTTGTCATGGTGGCACGAATGCTTCCAGAAGACATCAAGAGGTTTGCCTCCATTGTCATTGCCAATGGAAGGCTCCTTTTTAAGCAGAACTGTGAAAAGGATGAAACTGTTCAGTTGACCCCAAATGCAGAATTTAAGTGTAAAAAATGCATCCAACCTCCCCAAAGAGAAACTGAATCATACCAAAACAGTACTCCTTCCACTAAGCAAAGGGAAGATGAACATTCTCCTGAACTATTAAAGAAAAATAGAGCAAATATCTGTGGACAGGTGAGTTCAGAGTTCCAAGTGATCGAAAAAGAGACTTCAATTATTACCTGGATTAGTCGCCACGAAGATGCTGAGATTCTTTTGATAATATATAGGCTTTAGGGAGATGCTCGTTCCATTTTCTAGAAAATAAAATTTATGAAAGTAAAATTCTTGATGAAATTAACAAGTCAGAGAAAGATAGGTCAGCATAGGCAGATAGGTCAGTTTATTTGGATTTCTTCTGAAAACTTTTGGGGTTCAAGTTTACCATGATATTAGAATTAAAAAGGATTTTTAAAGTTTCCTAAAAATCTGTTCCTTGAGTAGATATTTAAAACCTCACCACCAAGTCTCCTTGCATTTTTGAAAGTTATAAACTGAGTCATTGTCAGTGTGTTTCTTAGCAACGGAAGAGGAAGTAGAAACATTTTTTCAAATTGCTCATGGTCTGATCAGCCTCCAGACTTTAGCTCCTCTTAGAAATACTTTCTGAGACTGGGTATGGTGGCTCATGCCTGTAATTCCAACACTTTGGGAGGCCAACGCAGGAGGATCCCTTGAGGCAGGTGAGACCAGTCTGGGCAACATAGTGAGATCCCAGCTGTACAAAAAAATTTTTTTAATATCCAGGTATGGTTGCTCATGTACTTGGGAGGCTGAGTCGGGTGATCCTTTCAGACCACAAATTTGTGGTTACGGTGAGCTGTGGTGGTGCCACTGCACTCCAGCCTGGGTGACAGAGGGAGAGCTTGTCTCTAAAAAAAGAAAAGAAAAAAAAAAAAAAAAGAAAGAGGTGGGGCATGGTGGCTCACACCTGTAAACCGAGCACTTTGGGATGTTGAGTCAAGCAGATCAGTTGAGGTCAGGAGTTCGAGACCAGCCTGGCCAACATGGTGAAACCCCATCTCAACTAAAAATACAAAAATTAGCCGGGTGTGGTGGTGCACACCTATAATCCCAGCTACTCGGGAGGTTGAGACAGGAGATTGCTTGAATCTAGGAGGCAGAGGTTGCAGTGAGCCAAGACTGCACCACTGCACTCTAGCCTGGACAACAAAGCAAGACTTTGTCTCAAGAAAAAAAAAAAAAAAGACTTTTCTGGATGAGTTCAGACATTATAGAATGAGATGCCTTAGTTCAGGGATTACGAGCCTTAAGAGGCCCACCAGTCACTTGGGGGCTGTGTCAAGGAGATAATTTCCTGCTTTCAGCCCCAACCTTTGTGTTCTGCTGAAATGCCTGATGGTGTAGGAGGTTTAACATGTTCTAGAAATCTGGATGTTTAAAATTTGCATACACATATATATGTCATTATATCAGGCCATGTTGATAGGCAAAATTCGGCCTTTGGGCTGCCAAAGTCTTCTTTGGTTGAGAAAAGGAATCAGTAGGCAGAACCATCAACAGAAAATATGAGAAAGAATGCTCAAGTCTTAAAGTGAACTTAAATAATTACACAGTAGTGTAAAAAACCACTCACTTTGGTAATTTGAAGGGATTTTCTTTTTCAGACGTTGCCTAACTTAGAAGAGAAAGAGAAACCTATCTTGGAACAAAGGTTAAATGAAAGCAAAGACTTAGGAATCACGGTAAGCTATAGCACTCACTCTAAAACTTCTGGTTCATGCGCTTTATTGCTAGATATGTCTCGTCATGCTACAGATAGCTCAGCATGACAGCCGTGATCCACATGGGCGAAAGTTCATTTTTGTGATTCTTTGTCCTTTATTTTAGCCAGAGAATCCTGGAGACCAGTGAGTCTGACGAACGAACCCCAGGGAATGGAAAGTGAAGCATTAGCTGTTAGCGAAATGACCCTAGGTGCTCTGCAAGGCTGCTGTGGGTAGCACTGACAGGGTTGAACAGGACTGACTCATGTCCTCTTTGACATTCTGTTTCAATGTTTCTGATTACAGCAGCGAATCTTCATTTGGGGCCTGTATATCCCCACCACCTCTTTGACACTTGATGTTCTTCCTTTTCAAAAGAAAAAAAAAAAATCAAAGATGTTATCATTGTGCTTATTTTTATTGGTTTCCTTCTATTTGTGGTAAATGACAGTAGTTTTCCATTTACCATTTTTAAGAGTTTCCTTTAAATTAATGTAAGTTAAAAAAGAAATGGGTCCATTTAAAGCAAAGGAATGAAGCCAGTGGAAGTTAAGAGCAAGGTGGAAAGATTGTAAAGGTTGTAAAGGTTGTAAGGATTATCTCTGAATAACTGAAGCTTGGGAAACTTACCTAGGTTATAGGACAGATGCCGTAGAGGGTGGAAGGAAAGCAGAGATGGCCAATGATTACGATGAGGTCCTGCACCTTCTTGGAGGCAAACTAGGACAAGAACCCAGGCCTCTTGACGCTCAGCTCTTCAAACACTAGTCTTCGGGCCTGCCATATTGTTGACAGTCATGCTATTTTGTTCCACATTAAATATGCCTTAGACTAGTGGTACTCAAACTTGATTGTCTCACAATCACCTATGACATTTGTTAAAACTCACATGGCTGGCTGGGTGCGGTGGCTCGTGACTATAATCCCAGCACTTTGGAGGCTGAGGTGGGTGGATCACCTGAGGTTACGAGTTTGAGACCAGCCTGCCCAACATGGTGAAACCCGGTCTCTACTAAAAATACGAAAAATTCGCTCTGCGTGGTGGCGGGAGCCTGTAATCCCAGCTGCTCAGAAGGCTGAGACAGGAGAATTGCTTGAATCTTGAAAGCAGAGGTTTCAGTGAGCCAAGATCACACCATTGCACTCTAGCCTGGGTAACAAGAGCAAGACACGATCTCAAGAAAACAAACAAACAAACTCACGTGGCTGGGCCTCACTCTCAAGAGTTTTTGATCTAGTAGGTCTGGGGTGGAGCATAATAATGTGCATTTCTAGCAACTTTGCAGGTGATGTTGATGCTTCTGGTCAAAGGACCACACTTAGAAAACCGCTTTAGAGTGACAGCACTTTTCAGGGGCAGCCCGGGGCACTGTCGACCATTGGGTGGACAGTTCTCCATGGCGCGGGATGAGCTCTTCAGCATCCCAGAACCTGCCCACCCACTGCCCACAGAAGTCCCTAGTCCATGTGATAACCAAAACTATCTCCACACATTTCCAGCACCCCAAGTTAAGAATCATAGCACATGTTTAACCTACCTACAGTTAATATATTTTCACTTAAAATGCTCGTAATCTGATGTCTACTTCTACCTCATTATTTCTCGTTATTTCTAAGCTTTTTTTTTTTTTTTTTTTTTGAGATGGAGTCTCACTCTGTCACCCAGGTGTGAGTGCAGTGTGGTGTGATCTCGGCTAATTGCAACCTCGGCCTCACAGGTTCAAGTGATTCTCCTGCCTCAGCCTCCCAAGCAGCTGAGACTACAGACGCATGCCATCACACCTGGCTAATTTTTGTATTTTTAGTAGAGACAGGGTTTCACCATGTTGGCAAGACGAGTCTCGAACTCCTGACCTCGAGTGACCCTCCCACCCCCGCCTCCCAAAGTACTGGGATTACAGTCACTGCACCCCCTACCTTTTTGTTTCTTCTTTGAGGCAGGGTTTTGCTGTGCTTCCCAGGCTGGAGGGCAGTGGCAAGATGTTGGTTCATTGCAGCTTCTACCTCCCAGGCTCAACTGATCCTCCCACCACAGGCTCCTGAGTAGCTGGGACTGCAGCTCATACCACCATACCTGGCTAATTTTTGTTTCGTTTTTGGTAGAGACAGAGCTTCACATGTTGCCAAAGCTAGTCGTGAACTCCTAGGGTTAAGCGATCCTCCTGCCTCGGCCTCCCAAAGTGCTGGGATTACAGGTGTGGGACACTGCACCTGACCTGCTTCATTCTTATACTCCCTGCTTCCAAAAAGTCCATCTGAACTGACATTTCAATCTTTCCTTCACTTCAATTACAAAGACAATCATCGTTTTCATTTTCCAAATATGCAGTTCTAATAATGAATGTGCTTCTTCAAAGTATACCTTCCTCTCCCTCATCTAATTCCCCTCCAGCCCCTGAAAACATACTCCCCTTCTGAAAAAATCAGTTCTATATCCTATCTGTCTGAATGCTTCCAGAGTGTGGATTTTGGGATAATAGGTAAATGCGAGCGTGTGAAATTTAATGGAAAGAAAGTGAGTTTCAAACGTAGAGCTCCAGATCTCTAATTTGCTAATGGAATGGCCCGAGGCAGCCTTTTCTCTACTCTAAGCTTCACCTTTCAATTGCTACCTGGAGTTGTGGCCACTAAGTTAGGTACTGAAATCTTTCGAGAGTATATAGGATTTGGGGCAATTTTGGTTTTATTTTCCAGAAAATAAAATTCATGAATGTAAAATTTTGATGAAACCTTATTAGAAAATGTTTTAATATTAAGGCAAAATATAAAAAATAATATTAAGGCAGATAGGCCAGGTTATTTGATTTCTTCTGGAAATTTTGAGGATTCTGGCCTACCTCTATATTGAAACCAGAGAGGATTTTTAAATGTCTTTGAATCTGTTCTTTGAGAAAATTTTAAATCTCACCAACAAGTTTTCCTGCATTGTTAAAGTTATAAATTTAGCTGGGCACGGTGGCTCACGCTAGTAATCCCAGCACTTTAGGAGGCTGAGGTGGGTGGATCATTGGAGGTCAGGAGTTCGAAACCAGCCTGGCCAACATGGTGAAACCCCATCTCTAGTTAAAATACAAAAATTAGCCAGGTGTGGTCATGGGTGCCTATAATCCCAGCTACTCAGGAGGCTCATACAGAAGAATTGGTTGAACCCAGGAGGCAGATGTTGCAGTAAGCTGAGATTGCACTACTGCACTCCAGCCTGGGAGAAAGAGCAAGACTGTCTCAAAAAAAAAAAAAAGTTATAAATACAGTCATTGCCAATGTGTTTCTTAAAATGGGTTTCTTATGGCTGGTTTATTGAGGTGATTGAATGAAATTATATATGAATGTATTATAATATGATATAAGATTATATATTTTATATGTTACAGTGCTCTGTAATGAAAACATCAACATTAATTTGTTAGATAACTGCTGCAGTATTGGGCTTCCCAAACAAAACCATGCTTTTTTTAAAAAAATAAAAATAAAAAGTCTTGGAAATCCAGCCAAAACAGGAAAGAGCAGACAGCCACAGCCCACTGATTAAATCTCTTATCTATTTTCTTCCCTCCCGTCTTTAGAGTCCTGGCCCTCTTATACCCCAGCCTTCGAGTCAACAGACTCCTGAGAAGAAACCCCACCTGTCTGAACACTGCCGGCTCTACTTTGGGGCGCTCTTCAAGGCCATCAGCGCATTTCTCAGCAGCCTCGGCAGGAGCCAGCCCCCGGATATCCTGATCACTCAGAGCAAGCTGGTCATCACGGTGGGACAGAAGCTGGTGGACACGCTGTGCAAGGAAACTCAGGAGAGAGACGTGCGCAATGAGATCCTCCGCGGCAGCGGTCACCTCTGCAGCCTGCTCAAGGATGTAGCGCTGGCCACAAAGAATGCGGTGCTCCAGTACCCTAGCCCTGCAGCGCTGGGGCACCTGCAGGCGGAGGCCGAGAAGCTGGAGCAACATGCGCGGCAGTTCAGAGGGACATTGGGATGAGGACATTCTACCTCCCTTCCTCCTCTGTAGCTTCACACCCACAACTGTGCAATTCTGTTCTATGGGAAAAGCCAGCCGGAGCATACACCGATGAGCTGAAATAGACCTGGTACCCAAAGCTGGTAGGACCAAGTAGCTAAGCAATCCCAGGGGACTGACTGACCCCACAGGGGGTCAGGGAAGAGAGTCAGGTATGAGGTAAAGACCTTGAGAGGTTTCGCACATGTGGGGTATGCAGTATTAGCTTGAAGTGACATTGTGGAAGTAATATTTTACATTGATTAAATGTGTGCATGATTTTGTTTGTTTTGAGATGGAATCTTGCTCTGTAACACAGGCTGGAGTGCAATGTCCTGATCTCAGCTCACTGCAACCTCCACCTTCTAGGTTGAAGCAATTCTCCTGTCTCAGCCTCCCAAGTAGCCGGGACTACAGGCGTGCGACCGCACACCCAGCTAATTTTTGTATTTTTTTTTAACGAAAAGTCTCACATATTTATTATTGAACCCAGCCAACCAATGTGTTCAAACTAGACTCAGAAAAAAATATATTCCCAATAAAACATGTCCAACTCTCCAGGTAGTGGTGATATTTTCAGCTTGATATGGTAACATGATTGTGACCCTCAGCCAGCATCAACCTGTGTGCCATCTCATGTGCGATTCCTATAGGCCCAGCTTGGTTCTTCCCCAATGTCTCCTTTTGGAGTTGTACCTGATTTATGACCAGTTTTCACCTGAGTCCACTGGGGAGTAGGGCGATTTTACTTTTGTTTCTTGGTCAGGAATCATTTAATCCTGAAAGTCTTGGTAAGAAGACACAGTGAGAAGTAGAGTCAAGCACACACCACTGTGGCAGAGAAAGGAAGAGCTAATTTTTGTATTTTTAATAGAGATTGGGTTTCACCATGTTGGCCAGGCTGGTCTGGAACTCCTGACCTCAGGTGATCCACCCGCCTCAGCCTCCCGGAGTGCTGGGATTCCAGGTGTGAGTCACCATGCCCGATGTGTGTGTGTTTTAAATTCACTCATTTAACACTTATTTATTAGATGCCTGCTGCATGCCAAGTTCCAGGTGCTAGAGACATAGCAGTGTATCAGAGGCCTTGCCCTCTTGGAACTTACAATCTAGTGGGGGTCAGACAGTAAAGTGCTGAAGAAACACATACATAGTATAGCAGGTACCAGGAAAAAAGTCAGTAGGGAAAGCACAAGAGAACTTATTTTCAAATGGTTAATTTTTGTTGCATCCATTAGAAAATATAGTAAGTTTTTTTGTTGTTGTTTTGAATTGAATTAATTCTGTGAGATTGGTACAAATTATATATGTGTCTTGTACCCATAAATATATTTTTTTGCTATGTTACTTTAACCTAAAGATACATATGTTTACAACATAACGTGATCTGTTGGGTTCTCTATTAATTTATTTCATATAGTACAGATTCTGTGTTGATAAATTCTACTGCTGAGTTTGAAAAATTTTATATTTGTCTCAAATCTGTTACAATTTATATTGGTTGGTGCAAAAGTAATTTTGGTTTTGGCCATGGAAAGTAATGACCAAAACCGCAATTGCTTTTGCACCACCCTAATACTATTAAATATAATCATGACTTTAAAAGTCATTTGCAGTATTTTTTTTTTTTTTGGAAAATTCTTTGGTCTGTGCCACCCAAGTGAAGCCCTCAGTGTTTCCTTTTGTCATTCCAGTGCTTGTCCCCGAAGTCTACAGGGAGATGCAGCAGAGGCAAGTTCTTAGGCACCAGATTGCACTAGAAAACAAAACCATCACCCGTGGTGGTGCAGACAGGAAGGCGTGGCGTGGACACAGACACAGAAATGGCACGGAGCTCCCCTCAGCTCAAACCACCTCCTCTTCCTCTCCCTGTAGCCAAGTCCTCAGCTCCTGTGGCCACAGTTATATCATCACTTCATTTTAAGTGAAGGTCTGGGTCCCCTAGACACATAAACACCTCTGCAGCCTGGAAGAGTATCTCCGGCTGTAAGTCACCTGAAATGATGCCAAGTCCAGCTCCTATCTGCTACTGTTACTTTGGTAGGCACTTTTAAAATGTTGACGGCTGGAGGTTGGTGATTTTTATTGAGATCGTCTCAGGGTCCTCAAAAGAAGGATCCCACCTTTGTGAGGCTTAGTTCTCTACGATTGGATCGAGAGGCCCTACAGGGGGCCTGTTCTTTGAACAGCCATGATCTGCATCAGTTAGGACTCCTCTTTTTTTTTTCTTTTGAGACAGAGTCTTGCTCTGTCTCCAGGCTGGCGTGTAGTGGCATGTTCTTGGCTCACTTCAACCTCCACCTCCCAGGTTCAAGTGATTCTCCTGCCTCAACCTCCCAAGTAGCTGGGACTATGGGCATGCACCACCATACCCAGCTAATTTTTGTATTTTCAGCAGAGACGGGGTTTCACCATGTTGGCCAGGATGGTCTGGATCTCGACCTCATGATCCTCCTGCCTCGGCCTCCCAAAATGCTGGGATTACAGGCACAAACCATTGCGCCTGGGCAGGACACCTCTTACCAAGGATAGAAAATTATGTCCAATCTATCTTAAGCAATAAAGGAAATTCAGTAGCTTATATATCTTAAAAATCATCCAGGGGCAGACTGGCTACAAGGCTGGCTGGTTTCAGGGGCTCCAACAATGTCATCCAGGACCGGTTTCCTGGTTCCACTTTCTCTGGGTTAACTCCCATGATTGTGAGGTGGTTTTCCCAGGTTATACTCTTCTTGATTCATGGACAGAAGAGAAGAAAAGGCCTTCATTCAGCTTGGATTGGCTTAGATCAGGTGCCTGCTCCTGAAAGCTCCATGATAAGCAAGGCATGGAATGCCCACGTTAAGTTAGATCTGGAATTCCCACCCACCCCACACACATTCTCCCATATGTCCTGAGAGGTAATGGGATTGCTCTTTCAAGGACTGTGATGGGCCTGAGGTTTCATCCTTGAAATTAACAAGTTAGCCTGTCACCGTTTCATGGATGCTGACAGAAGACATGAGATTCTGGAATCAGAGACAATGTCAGAGGTCCCAAGACCACTGCCAGGCAATGAGTCACTAGGAAAACTCACAGGACTCAGAACAGAGTCATACTCACCGCTGTGACTTATTACAGTGAACAGATGCAAAGTGAAATCAGCAAGGGGAAGAGGTACCTGGGGTGAAATCTAGGGGAGACCAGGCACAAGCTTCCAAGAGTTTTCTCCCAGTGAAGTCACGCAGGACACGCTTAATTCACCCCAGCAACAATTGTGACATGTGTGATATGTTGTCAACCAGGAAAGCTCATGAGAGCCTCAGCAGCCAGGTTTTACTGGGGGCTGATCAGGTAGGAAGCCTCTTCTTGGCACCTACCAACTTTCCAGGCTCCCAGAAGGAAAGCAGGTGTTCAGCATGAATCACAGTTTGTACAAACAGTTTAGGCCCAACGAGCCATTCTTATGAATTCTGGCAATGGTGGGAACCCTCCCAAAATCCAAGTTCCCATGCACCAACCGAAGGCCAACCTTGTAGACAGGACTTCATGAGGATATTCGTCAGGCCTGCAGTGTTCATTCCTCTGTGCATGGGGACAAAGGACAATTTTTCATGGCATTGCAAGCAACTTTGCCTCACCTTCACATCATTTCCCATGTCCCCCAAGTCCCAGGGGGTGACGCAGTGGTGGGCTCAGGTGGATGCTGCACACATGGGTTTGTGTCAAAGCCAAGTAACCCTATCATAGAAATCCCCAATCTTTTATTAAATAGGCTCTAAGCAAATTTGACCAGGCTTTGCCTTAGAGGGAGACGTCATCTCTCTATTACATATGTAATATGTGTTACAGACATGCAATACAGATGCTAGATACGTAATACAGATGTTATATATGTGACATATATCTCACCTATATATTAGACATGCACACACACACACACACACACACACACACACACATACACACACTTTATATGTATATAAACAGGATGTCACTCCATCACCCAGACTGGAATACAGTGGTGCAAACATAACTCACCGTAGCCTCAAACTCCTGGGCTCAAGAATTCTCTTGCCTCAGCCTGCAAAACTGCTGTGATTACAGGTGTGAGCCATTGTGCCTAGCTCTCAATTTTAATATCTCACGTACCAAACAAACCTGCCCTCTGCTCTGGAGGGAGACATTATCTCTATCTTCCAAGGCTGCTGGAAGATGGTTAAACAACATCCTTTAAAAGATGGTTAACAACAAAATGCCATTGGTGCCTCTGCTCTGAAATGTGCAGAAAGGCAAGAGACCTGTGGAGATCCCCTAACAAAAGGGGTGTCCTGACAGGATCCCCTAACAAAAGCCAGGAATATTGTTGGAAGAAGGAGGAATTAGGCCAGACTTGGTGGCTCATGCCTGAAATTCCAGCACTTCGAGAGGCTGAGGCAGGGCAGGAGGGTCGCTTGAGCACAGGAGTTTGAGGGCAGCCTGGGAAATAAAGCAAGATGCTGCCTCTGCAAAAAATACCAAAAGATGAGCTGGGCCTGATAGTACACACCTGTAGTCTCAGCTACTTGGGAGGCTACAGTGAGAGGATCACTTGAGCTCAGGAATTCGAGGCTGCAGTGAGCCGTGATCACACCACTGCACTCCAGTCTGGGTGACAGAGTATGACTTCATCGAAAAAAAAAAACAGAAAATAAAAAAGGGGAGGGATTATTATGAGGAGGCAAACATAAATTTTTACTGCAGTGGATAAAATCATGTTTACACATATTAGTAACAGTGGCACATATTTATTACATGATCATTACATTGCTATTAAAGCATTTCTAATGTTTCTAACACATTCTTTAGCTTAGTCCTTCATAACTGAGTGTTTCATAGTGTTCTCATAGGTAACAAAAGGCCTTTTTTTTGCAGGTGAATCCAAATTGAAGACCTTTGTCAACAAAGTACAAAACCACTGCATGTAAAATAATGAAAAATGCTGCTGTTAGCTAAATGTGTTTCCTTCCTTTTTTTTTTTTTTTTTAAACAGAGTGATTCCAGGGTGAATTTCCACTGATTAATAGGATGATTACTTCTGAAAAAAAAATTCAAATAAAATTAAATACAATTTTTTAGCTTTTGGTAGCTTTTTGCTAAGTATTTTTGCTTAATGCCCAGAATTCTCTACGGTTTCCTCTCAAGGAAGGAAGAGGAAATGGTGGGTGGTGTGGTGGTAGCAACTTGACCTCAACTAAGTCAAATTTTATCAGAAGGCTGGAAGTGGTGAAGAGCCCATGTTGGAGATCCTCCAGTTAGATCGACAAGTGGTGGGAAGGTGTGTTTGCGGTTTGGT